AGGACTTTATGAATACTTTTAACATATACCTGTTACCTAGGCAAACACACAGCCCATAAAATGGCATTTACTGTAATAAGACACAGCACACACATTGATGGAGAGGAAAATTCCATACGGAGTCTTCGTCCTTTTGTTACATCACACCCCAGCCTGAGCAGTGGTACATACCTGCACGCTTTGAGGAGAGGCTCTGTGGGCGGGAAGATCTGGGTGAGGGTGGTGTAGCAGGGGATAGCCACAGCGTTGTAGAACCCCAGCTGCCCTCGCGCAGAGCCACGCACAACAAGACACAAAAGTGCAGGTTAGCAACAACTTCTCAGTGGAGGCTTCTGTTTCTCAAGCCTAGCTTTAAATTAAATGTTCCAGTTTTGCTCCCTGACATTTGGGCTCAATGAATACTGCTGCAGAGTACGTTTAAAAATGCCTTAAAATACGTCCACGAAATAACACACATAAAAAGAGGTTCATCCCAAACCCAAGTTCAACAGTCAATGAGATTCCATTTATAGATCATTCAAGTTATAATTCCAGCACTGTTCTTGTCTCTCGTCAAAGTTAGTTTTCTACCATAGACATTTCAAAGCCAACCCTGCTATTCTTCTACAGGTGGCCTCTTCTCCAACTTAGTATTTGGGAATCTGGGCAGGTGTTTCGTGGGCTTGCTATCCTTGGCTTTTGGTGCCCTGCTTGGTCTCCAGAGACTTTCTTTCTCCCCCTCCCATTTTTTTTTTTTATATATATAATCACACAACGAGACAAGACCTTTACAAAAGGACATGAAAAGAAGATGCCAGACAGGGAAGACAGATCTCTGTGAGCAAATATATGGGAAAGTTCCACAAACAGTATTAAAAAGAAATTAAACTGCAAGAACCACATGGAACAGGCACGTGGGGCTGGGCATGTCAGTGCGTGTTCAGCGGGGAAGAACAGTGAGTGCCCCGTCAGATGTAGCCGCTAAGCACACGAACACACTACGAACCGAGGACCACGAGGGTGAGAAAACCACGTGGCCCTTCTCTATGCTGACGTCTCTGAAAAACTGGGGACTGCAATCAACTTTGGTATGAATAGTGAATAAATTAACTTTAAGTGAAATAGGAAAGCTTGAGAACTTATCCAAAACCATCATCCCGTGAGTTTTCTGAAATGTTTTCTAAACAAAAGTCTGTAATTATTTGTCCATAATTAACTTCCCTGTAATGGGGTTAGAAGATTGGTAGTTTAAAAAGACTATAATCTGAGAAATAGATCGCATCACACATGCAAAACTGACAGGCACGAGAGCTGTCAAAACATCAAAACATTGACATAAATCATGTGGTAAGACCTGAAAAAATAATAATTAATGTCAACTGATGGTAAGACAAAACTCAAAATGTACTGAAATACTATGCATTATTCGTTAGGAAAAGTGGGCCTGATCAAAATCTATGTTACTCTCTAAAAAATACCTTTGCACATTCAATGACAAAAGATCTTCTGCTTGTTAGAAATATTAACAATTCAAACTCCTCTATCCCTCCATTTCAAGCCATTGGTTACTGTGATTCCATCGGTGGAAAGAGCTGACGGTTCGGGTAGTTGTGGCTTCTTTAAACCCAACTACGATTTCCTAATCCTGGCCTTATGATCCCCAAACTCTATCTAAATGCAGAAGGTTTCAAGTGGTCCTGGGTTCTACAAGACGGTACATACTTTTAATTCACGTGTGATTTTATGACCGCCTGAAATTATTTGACTTTTCAACAGAATTCATACCTGGCCTTGTGGGACCTCGTCCTTCTTGTCTCTGTCCATCATGGGAATAGGTTGTATTCCCAACTTTTTCATCTCATCGCCCTAAGAGAAACGGGAAAAAACAAGCTTTCTCAACTTATAAACCATTATCAAGTCTTGGTATTAATGAGTTGTTGCCTCTATTTATTAATTTTCTTCACAATGGATAATGTTTCTGGCTATTGATGCAAACAAATGTCAAAACAATAAAAACTTAATGTATCATCATTTGGCTTTTATCCTGATGTTCTTCTCAATGAAATTACCAGGAATGCAGGCATCTTTCCCGGTTCCATTGTGCAGAAGTTAGTGAAAGTTATAACAAGAGGAGACTCAGGTAATAGTGAGGAGGGATGACAAGAACAAAGCATGGAATAACCTCAAGGCCTTTTTCTCGCTTATTTTTCAAATGAATTTTCACGTGTGTTGAACTGGATGAAGTGAGGCTTTAAAGAGAAATAATGTATATCAAGAATGGTCTGCTAAAATGTGTTAGTAAAGATACAGTATAATTGGCTGCACATCACCATAAAGGTTACAGTCACAGATGTTTATTAAAGATTTTCTATTTTGCAGGCTTTGGGATAGGTAACATATAAATACTATTTTATTTAATCATCATGAAATACTAGGAGTTAGATATTCTTGTCCCCATTTTATAGATTTTAAAAATTATCTTCCTCTTTTTCGTTGTTAAAGATTTTTAAAATCTTCTTTCTTAACATACCCCAACTTTTTCCTTGCTACTCCACTATTCCCTCACATTTCTTCATTATTCAGTTACTTTAATTACTTCACAATCATGCTTATTTTCAGAAATCAGAGGTGGAGAACTAAAAACATCCTAGATTTGCTAACGTAGGTCCAAAACAGATGATGAGAACCCTCACGAAAGGTTCTATTGCAGGACAGAGGCCAAGCACAAACATCGAGAACCCCCACGAAGGGTTTTATTGCAGGACAGAGGCCAAGCACAAATGACTAGGACCCCCATGAAGGGCTCTATGCAGGACAGAGGCCACGAACAAATGAGAAGAACCCCCCAAAAGGGTTTTATGTGCAGGAGAGAGGCCAAGAACAAAGGATGAGAACCCCCACGAAGGGTTCTATCTATGGGACACAGGCCAAGAACAAATGACTAGAACCCCCACGAAGGGATCTATGTGCAGGACAGAGGCCAAGAACAAATAATGAGAACCCCCACAAAGGGTTCTTTGTGCAGGACAGAGGCCAAGAACAAATGACGAGAACCCCCATGAAGGATTCTATGTGCAGGACAGAGGCCAAGCACAAACGATAGAACCCCAACGAAGAGTTCTATCTGCGGGACAGAGGCCAAGAAAAATGACGAGAATCCCCAGGAAGGGTTCTATCTGCAGGACAGAGGCCAAGAACAAATGTCCAGAACCCCCAGGAAGGGTTCTATTTGCAGGACAGAGGCCAAGAACAAATGTCCAGAAC